ATCCAAAAAAATTACAAATTTAAAAATCGCTAATTTTCGAAATTTTTTCAATTTTTTTTACTTAAAAATGCCATAACTTTTTTAAAAATGAACATATAAATATAATTTTTTTTTATATAGATGCATGATATCATTACCTTTTATTTGGTATATTTTTTTTTATATCTGACCCTTTACCTGCCCACAAGGGGAGATTCAAAATAACAACTTTTTCACAAAAAATTTACTTTTTCAACTTAAATTTTGAAAGTGTTCAGGAAAGTCTGACACTTTTATATATATTTTAAATTAAAGCTAATATAATGTACTTTATTATGCAAAAAAAATATTTCGAACTTTATTTTGTCTTCACGGTGAAAATAGTCATTGTATTCAACTAGCAGATCATGTAGCTTTTGGAATAATCCACAATTTTTTTAAAATTAAACACTATNAGCTTTTGGAATAATCCACCAATTTTTTAAAATTAAACACTATCTAAAGATTTGCATCGAAGCGTTTTTTTTTTATAGTGATTTTAATCACTGTCAGATATCATTATACTTGATCCAGCTATGCCATGTCACCATTGTGCCGCGACCCCCTTGTGCTGGGTTTTTTTTCTTAAAACTTCCATAACTTTTTCAAAAATAAACGAATCAACATAATTTTTNCTTTATATTGAAACCTTAGGTAATTTTCTTTCATTTGATATCATTTTTTTTTGAAAATCTAACACTTATTCTGCTCACGGGGGAGATTTAAAATAGCAACTTTTTTACAAAAACTAACTTTTTCAACTTAATTTTTGAAAATGTTCCGGAAATACAGCGTCCTTTAAACATATATCAAATTAAAGCTTATTTTATGTACTATAAAAAAAAAAAATTTTCCCGACAACCTATCTTCTATGCGCAAATGGCTACCGTATTCAAAAATATGCTATTTTTGTGTTAAAATCCTGGGTTTTGTATTTTATTTTATTTTAAAATATTATAAGATGATAAATATTAATATCATTAATATTATAATATAATATTAAAAGGGCAATACACTGACTTTCATGAATATTTTATACTTTAATTGACATAGAAAAGAGTTCATAAGGCATAAGAAATTAAACTTAATAAAATTTTTTTATTTTTTTAAAGTGGAAAAAGTAATTTTTAAATTTGAGTTAGTTAAAAAAGTTAAATTTATCGTGAGACGAAATTATCGAACAGTTGCCGAGTCGGTAACATTGTATTTTTCACGCGAAGGGTACGAGGTTCAAATCCACTTGTGGCAATTAATATTTTGTATTTTTTTTTAGTTAGAATAAAATGTTCAATTCATTTGATATTTATCTCATTTAGATTCAATAACTTCAATAAATATAAAGGATCCTATCACTATAGTCTCCCATCATGAGAAGAAATTTATATTCATGTTAATATTATTTTACTATGTGGTTTTTTTTGTGGCTACGATTTATTTTGCCAACCCTCACTAGACCTACTTTTTTTAACGATACGTCAAATGATTACAATTCGTATTTTGTTTAAGTTATTACTCTTAAAAATCGAAAAAAATTTCCTTATTCAAAAAAAAGTATCTAAACCAGCTCTTTCCATACAAACAATTAAAATCATTAATTTCTAATATTCTTAAAGTATTCATTGTCGAATTTGATTTGATATGATAAAAATATTCAACTACAAAAGTAAATAATTTTATTTTGTAATTTATTAATTTTTTAACTCTATTTGTGTGTGCTACTACCAGTCTATAATATTCCAAATTTTTTTGTAATATGTTGCTATATAAATCATAAATTAAAAAAAAAAAATTATTTTTAGTTTCACCTGAATTTAACTATAGATTTTTACAATTATAATCATATTTTATAATACGCTCAATTAAGTAAATCTTTTTAACAACTTTTTTTTTTATTGTGCTGGGTTTTTTTACTTAGCGAGACCTCATTTTGACAAATAAATACGTCAATTTAGATTGGGCATAAATTTAAGTATTTCAAGAATTAGAATAGATTATTCAAATACCTTTAAATTTAGAATTAGGACTTTATTATTTTTTATTATTTAATATGAATTTAAATTATTAAATATTTATCAAAATAAGATCTCACTAAATAAATAAATTATGCAGACAAAATAAATTTACTAACTAAACCTTCTCAATATTAAGATGTAAATTTTTTTGTTCTAAAAGTTAAACAATTTTAATACCTACTACTATTTTAAAAGAAAGTGAAAATATTGCAGGTAACGATTTCAAAGAGGAATTTTATAACATTGTTGGAGAATATCAATCAAAAACAAATCATCTAGTCAATACATTGGTAATTTATGACCTTCAGAAAGAATTAACTGAAATAATTTGCGTCCAACAGTTTTTACAATCTGAAAAAGAATTAAAAAATTGCAGTAATGGTATTTATGAATGCTGTGATACTTTTATAAAAGAAACAAAAAATTTTCGTTTACGGCAATTTAGTGAAAAAATATCAACTATATCAACTAATATCATTAGTGGTATAAAAACTTATATTACACAGGATGAATCCGCCGGAAAAACCGATTGAAAAGTTATTATTAAAAATATTGTCAAAAAAGAGTCACGTGTATAACAGTTATGAATCATATATTATAATATTAAATAAACATGTCAAATTTGAAAAAAGAAAGTTTTTATTTACAATTATTTATTAACCTCTTGTCTAATATTAATGAAATTTACTTTTATTATTAAATAGTATGGAATAAGTATTAACAGAATGTAGTAATATAACTATATAAATAAATAAATTTTAACTACAGCAATATTTGTAAATAAGTATTTCAACAATTGCCTCTTTGGCGTACTAAATAATATAAACATCAATATCTGTCCGTTCGGTGCAACAATAATAATTAAAAAACGGTAGCACAGTGGGGTCGAGGCACAGTGTAGACGAGGCGCCTTTGGCGTGTAAGCCTCTTCGGGTCGTCATCATAAGTAGGCCACTGATTCCGGTAGAAGTACCCGGCNCTCTTCGGGCCGTCATCATAAGTAGGCCACTGATTCCGGTAGAAGTACCCGGCTACGCCGGGCACGATAAGTGTTTTTCAGAAAAAATATTACTTTAGAATCAGTGAAAACTATATCTAAAAATGTTATTATTAAAATCAGGAAAATTCAAAAAGAGAATATAGTAAAATGTATTGGGTATAAGGTTGAAGCCTCTTAATGAGATATTCCCTTGAGGCCTATTCAAAAATTATTTTAGAAGGAAATTTAATATTTTTTATTTTGTTAAACATGTTATAGAAATTTGTTTGCTAAAATTTAAGTAATAATGAAAAAAAAGGACATTAGGTCCTTATATATTAGAAGTTGCCTAAAAAAATATTGATAGCGCTTGCTCAAGGAGAAGCCAATCTCTCTTAAATACACCCCTGTTATACACAAAAATTATTAATAATCTAATTATAATAATTGTGTTTATATTATAGAATAATTACAAAAAAATTTAGCAGGTTATTATAAGTGGCACACTGTAAATTTAAATTAAAATTAATATTAAAAATAAAAATAAAAATTTAATTTTGATAAATATATTGGTAACTGCGATTTAACGATGAACATCATGGTTATCATAGATGAACCCCAATTCAAAAGATAAACTCATAGTCTCATACATCATATATGTGAAAAAAGAAAATTATTCCTTGATAAAAATAGGGCAAATGCAAAATAGTGTCCTACTAATAATACATAATACACCATATAAATAAGGTTCATAATACGTATCAGCAGAAATGAATCACTGCGCATAATACAACCATGCGCGTGGACTTAAAAAAAAAGCTCGTAAAATGTGAAAAATGAACGGATTGAATTGATTTTTTTATCATATCTCAGGAATGTCATTGGGCGGGTCTGATGAAAATTTCAATCCTTAAGTCGTAAAACGCTGGCGTCAGCGAGCGTTTTTCTCGAAAACCGTCGAAATTTTAAAACGCTCGCGGGCGAGCGGCAAAAATTTTTCGACCTTCGCCAATAATTTTCCCGGAGTCTGGTGACCGAGTACTTTCGTTGAAAAAAAAATTTTTGAGCACGCTAAGTAATTTTCCCAGAAAAGCGTTTTTTTCCTTGTTCTATTATATAATAAGATATATAAAAATGTTAGTCTTTCCGGAACATTTTCAAAAGTTAAGTTGAAAAAGTCAATTTTTTGTAAAAAAGTTACCATTTTGAAACTCTTCCTGTGGGCTGTTAAAGGGTCAAATGTTCACAAAAATATATAAAATGATAGGTAAATATCTAAGATATCTATAAAAAAAAA